CAAAAAAAAAAAAAAAAAAAAATCAGGGAATGCTAAAAGAGATGTTACAAAAGACAACAAGCTCCTTCCCAGCCCTCCCAACTCCCCAGAAGCAATCACTTGCAAACCCTTTGCTCCTTCTTCTTGTATATACCACCATATTTCTATGTGATATGTGCATACTACTATTTTTGACCTAATGATTTTATTATTATTATTATTATTATTGAGATGGAATTTTGCTCTTGTTGCCTAGGCTGGAGTGCAAATGGTGCAATCTTGGCTCACTGCAACCTCCACCTCCTGGGTTCAAGAGATTCTTCCAGGTTCAAGAGATTCTCCTAACCTCCAATCCCTGAGTAGCTGGGATTACAGGCATGCACCACCATGACCGGCTAATTTTTTGTATTTTTAGTAGAGATGGAGTTTCACTGTGTTGGCCAGGCTGGTCTCAAACTCCTGACCTCAGGCAATCCACCCACCTCAGCCTTCCAAAGTGCTGGGATTATAGGCATGAGCCACCATGCCCGGCCCTATTTTATTATTGTTAATTTTGTGTATATTTGTTTATGTTTATTATGGTAGCAGTCTTACTCAGCTGCCCAGGCTGGAATGTAGTTGCATGATCATGGCTCACTGCAGCCTGGCACTCCTGGCCTCAAGCAATCCTCTAGCATCAGCCTCCTAAAGTGCTGGAACTACAGGCACCTGGCTAAATTCTAGAATTATCTATTGCCTTCCTAATCTAGAGGCTGAGGACCCAGCCCCTATCCACAGATTTGCTTTATTATCACTAAATAGCATTTGATGCTAAACCAGGTGGTGGGATGGAAACCCATTTCCCTTTACATTTAATGCAGATTTGCCTTATATTAATAGTGCCTTTTCCTGCTTTCCTTAGTTTTCTATGTACCTGTAGCAAATTTTCCCCAAATGGTCTACAAGTCAAACCCTTTCAGTAATTTTGTCATATGCCTGGACACAAGGAATAATCTACCAGCTGCATTTTCCTCTCCCACGGTCTGTCACCACGCTGCTGAGCATGGGAGACTTTCATGCCAAAGAGAAATTTTCATAGACAGGGTACAAGTTTCCCTACTATAATACATGGCCAATTTACAATTTGGCAGGCTGGTCAAACTAATTTTTTTCCTCAAACACAGCACATTGCTGACAGGACAATGACATTATTTTTTCTTATTTATTTAAGTGTTAATGATATATTTTAATATGTCTGATTTTTAATGCTGTATGCAAACTTACAAATTGCACAAACCTCAGTAAACTTTTGAACTTCTATAAATCTAATAAATCAAGATGTACAAATCCAGTAAGCTAGCCTCTCCTAAGACTTTCAAACAGTACAATGATTACAAAACTTATTTCTATACCTGTACCATGTCTAGCAGAAGGTATTCATTAATATCACGGATTTAACTTATTTAATCTTTGTTATATTTCCCTATTTCTTTAAGGTAATAGTAATGCTTATTTTAATAGTTTCCTATAGGGAAAATTAATCTTATGGGGTTAAATCCTGTAATGGGGTTAAATTCTCTTTCAGTAGAAACAAGGTGGGGCTGGGGCTCCCAGGTCATGGTCTTTGTACATCACGGCTGTTCTCAGCACAGGGCACACACTCTTTGAAGCCCAGCATATTTGACTAGTTTGGGCAGCTTTGAGCTTCCATCCCACCTCAACCAAACACCAAATTTCAGTTTCCTGCAGCCTGATGTCCTTCCTTAAAACGAAACATTGCATTTTCCTCTGAGTTGCATAGATCAGTGTTGTACGGTATAACTTGGTCTTTTTGTTTAACGTTTAGGCCTTTAAGTTGGTTTGTACAACTACTATGTTTGTTAGCCCAGAAAGCTACAATAACTAAACTTTTTACCTAGCAATCATAGACACAGTGCAAACATTACTAAATTCTTTCGTGTCTTTTTAAAGCTCATCTTGTCTGTCTCATCTGAGCTTATGAGCTTGGGCTTTTCACAAACAACATATTTCAATTAACTGATGTTTGTTTCCTTCTTGCTCTAATTGTCCTGGCTTGGCTAGTGGGAATCTTTACTTACTTTATCTCCAAGCATGCTTGCTTTATATGCAGGGGTCCCTAGCAGGTCCATCCGTGGTCTGTTAGGAACAGGTGAACAGCAGGTGAGTGAGCATTATTACCACCTGAGCTCCACATCCCGGTGGCAGCATTAGATTCTCCTAGGAGAATGAACCCTCTTGTGAACTGTGTATGTGAGTGATCTAGGTTGCATGCTTGTTATGAGAATCTAATGCCTGATGATCTGAGGTGGAACAGTTTCATCTTGAAACCATACCCTCCACCCCATCAATGGAAAAATTGTCCTCCATGAAACAGTCTGCTCCCTGGTACCAAAAAGGTTGGGGGCCATTGCTTTAAAAAAACAGCAAAGTCTGAAAAAAACCATTTCAGATTTTTCTAGTCCAAAGACTAGATACTGCAGGTGCACATCACCATACGCAGTTAATTTTTTATTTTTTGTAGAGACAGGATCTCACTCTGTGGCCCAGGCTGATCCCAAACACCTGGCCTCAAGCTATCTTCCCACTTTGGCTCCCAAAGTGCTGGGATTACAGGCATGAGCCACCATGCCTAGCTTGGGAAAAATTTTAAGGCACTTGCTGATTTCCTCCAGATTGGCTCTTTGTTCTCTTTCTCTGTCAAGTACAAAATTCTTGGACTGACCTCATCTGGGACTTCCCACCTTTCTCCATGCTGTGACACACACAGAAAATGATATTAGTATGGCACTTTGGGGCCAGGCTACTCGCCCCAGAGGTGACCAGCATAGAGCTCCAGCCACCCAGATTCCCCAGGTTGGAGGGAACAGCTAACCTGCCCAGGGCACAACACCTGCACAGAGGCTAGAAAGTTCTGCTCTGGGGCGGGGTGTGGTAGCTCACACCTGTAATCCTAGCAATTTGGGAGGCTGAGGCAGGTGGAATACCTGAGCTTAGGAGTTTGAGACCAGTCTGGGCAACACAGTGAAACCCATCTCTACTAAAAAAAAAATAATTACCCGGGTGTAGTGGTGTGTGCCTGTAGTCCCAGCTACTCGGGAGGATGAGGCAGAATTGCTTGAACCTGGGAGGTGGAGGTTTCAGTGAGCTGAGATCTCACCACTGCACTCCAGCCTAGGTGACAGAGCGAGATTCTGTCTCAAAAAAAAAAGGAAATTTTTGCTATGGAAGATTGAAATTGGACCCCTTCTTACATACACCATCTATAAAAGTCAACTCAAGATGGTTTAAATACTTAAATGTAAAAGCCAAAACTATAAAAATCCTGGAAGGCAATCTAGGCAATACCATTCTAGACATAGGAACGGGCAAAGATTTCATGACAAAGACACCAAAAGCAATCGCAGCAAAAGTAAACATTGACAAATGGGATCTAATTAAACTTAAGAGCTTCTGCACAGCAAAAGAAACTATCAATAAACAGCCAACCTACAGAATGGAAGAAAATATTCACAAACTATCACTGACAAAGGTCAACTATCTAGCATCTGTAAGGAACTTAAACACATTTACAAGAAAACGAACAACTCCATTAAAAATTAGGCAAAGGATATGAACAGACCCTTTTCAAAAGAAGACATTCATGCAGCCAACAGGCATATGAAAAAAGGCTCCATATCACTGATCATTAGAGAAATGCAAATCAAAACCACAATGAGATGCCATCTCACACCAGTCAGAATGACTATTAGTAAAAAGTCAATAAGGAAGAGATAACTGGCAAGGTTGTGGAGAAAAGGCAACGCTTATACACTGCTGGTGGAAGTGTAAAATAGTTCAACCACTGTGGAAAGCACTGTGGAAATTCCTCAAAGAGCTAAAAACAGAACTACCATTCAACCCAGCAATCTCATTACTGAGTATACACCCAGAAGAATAGAAATCATTCTACCACAAAGAAATATGCATGTAAATGTTCACTGCCACACTATTCACAATAGCAAAGACATGGAATCAACCTAAATGCCCATGAATGACAAAAGGGATAAAGAAATTGTGGTACATATACACAATGGAATACAATGTAACCATGAAAAAGAATGAGATCATGTGTTTTGCAGGAGCAGGGATGGAACTGGATACGATTATCCTTAGCAAACTAACACAGGAAACAGAAAACCAGATACCTCATGTTCTTACTTATGAATGGAAGCTAAATGATGAGAACATGAACAGAGAAAGAGGAGCAACAAACACTGGGGCCTACCAGAGGATGGAAGGTGGAGGGTGGAGGGTGGGAGGAGGGAGACGGACAGAAAGAATAGCTATTGGGTACTAGGCTTAGTACCTGGGTGACGAAATAAGCTGAACAAGAAACCCCTGTGACATGAGTTTACCTATGTAACAAACCTGCACATGTATCCTGAACATAAAATGTAGGTTTAAAAGGTTAAAAAAAGAGAGAGAGAGAAAAAAAAAATTTTTTTATATGAATGTTCTGTTCTGACCTTATTCCCTCACTTGCATTTTCCATCATGACATTTTATTCCATTTTGCTTTCTATACTAATTCTTCAGATACCACCATTATAGTTTATTGAGTCTAAAAATGCCTTGTATTGGAACTGGCCTTAACTTAAAATACTTAGTTTACATAGTCGAGTATGACCAAAGTACTTTTGTCTTTCGTGGCACCACATCACAATGGATGCGATTACTCAGATAGGGTCCTGCCATGAGAACACACGCCATCTATGCTGATAACAGCAGCCATTGGGTTCATCCCAGCACACACAACAGCCCCGGCAGCAAAAGGCCGGCCCAGGGCCTTAAACAAATGGTCACTGAACACATCAGATCTCATCTCATCAGGACTGACCCACACCAGGAAGGACGCAGGCAGCTGCGGGGTATGCCTGTCATTAGGCACAAGGGCATCCCAGAAAGAAGTGCCCAGAAAATGGACTCAGGTGCCCCCTCCCATCTGAGTATTCCTGACAGCATGTGAATATCAATTTTCTGTACCTGTTTTCCAAAGCCAATGCTTTAAGACAAAAAAGAAGAAGAAATTAACTTAAATGCCAATTTGTGGTTAAAGATTCCCCCATGCCCTCTTTGCCTTAAAGACATCAAAGCTTGTAAATAGTTTGCCTGTAGGGAGTTTAAAACACAGAGTGGTAAGAAGATCTGGGCTGGTCCACACGATTGTCTCCACTGGTCTGAGCGACCTGGAAAGCGCTGCGGAATCGGGCAAGCCCCAATTCCGGGCCAGGTCAGTGAACACAAGCCAGGGGCCCTACCGGCAGCCGTTGGCACTGACCACCGCCCCACGCGCCGCCTCTCTCCGCCTCCGGCCCTCCCTGGCTCCCAACGCGCGGCGCCCCAAGACGGGCGGGCGCCCCAAGGTCGCGAGGCGGGCGGGGTATGTCACTGAGGCCGAAGGGACGGCGGGGGTCACCTGTGGCCCGGGAGGCTCTGCGCCGCCCCCATCCCACGCAGGCCGCCTCGAGGCCTCAGTGGGCGCTGGCCCTGGGCGCCCGGGGTCCGGGGGTACGGGATCCGCGGCGTCACCTCCCGGGCTCGCCGCCACGCACGACTCACCGGACCGCGTCGCCGTCCTCTGCTGCTGCGGGGCTCCGGAAGGGAATCCGAGCCGGGCGCTCGCCCAGGCCCCCGCCCCCTGAGACTGCTGGGGTCACAGCCCCGCGCGGCCACGCCCCACTTTCTGGGCAGCCGCGTCCACGCGCGTTCTGGGCCCTGCACACCCCCTGCTCCCCCTCCCCAGCTTTCCCGACGTGGGAGCGGCAAATCCAAGTCAGCGTGCCCAAGCCAGACACTTACTCCAGGTGGGTAGCGGAGCGGCGGGCAGAGGCGCCGGAGCGCCCGGGACCTCAAATACCGGCGGGGAGGCGGGCGGAACCCCGGGAGGCAAGCCAGCGCCGCCCGCCCCGAGCCCGGCGAGAGAGGCGGTGCGGGAAGTGTGGGTCCGGTAGTGCGCCCCCACCCGGCTGCCCACAGTACAGGGCGCCACCAGCGTGTTTATCGTGCCTCTGGAGAAACTCAATGTTGGCCTGTTTTCAGAAAAGAGCCGGTTCCTCGTACATGGGCATTCATTGGGCAGTGCAGAACACGCATTTAAAAATGAGCAGACTAACCCGGTCTCTACTAAAAATACAAAAGTTAGCCGGGCGTGTTGGCGCGCGCCTGGAGTCCCAGCTACTCAAGAGGCTGACAGGAGAATCGCTTGAACCCAGGAGGTTGCAGAGAGCCGATATCGCGCCACTGCTCTCCAGCCTGGGCGACAGAGCGAGACTCTATCTCAAAAAAAAAAAGAAAAAGAAAAAGAAAAAAAAAAAGAGCACTCTAGAGACGGGTCACAAAGACTTTGCTGATAAAACAGCTTGAGGCAAAGAAGCCAGTCAGGGCCAGGCGCGGTGGCTCACACCAGTAATCCCAGCACTCTGGGAGGCCAAGGCGGGCAGATCACTTGAAGTCAGGAGTCCCAGACCAGCCTGGCCAACATGGCAAAACTCGTCTCTCCTAAAAATACAAAAATTAGCCGAATGTGGTGGCGCACGCCTGTAATCCCAGCTGCTCAGGAGGCTGAGACAGGAGAATCACTTGAACCCAGGAGGCGGAGGTTGCAGTGAGCCGAGATCGCGCCACTGCACTCCAGCCTGGTCCGTCTCAAAAAAGAAAGAAAAAGAAAGAAAGAGAGAGAGAGAGAGAGGGGGGGGGGGGGAAAGGAAGGAAAGAAAAGAAAAAAAGCAGACTTTGGGCCTTTGCACGGCAAAAAGGGACAGTCAGCAGAGTAAACAGGCAACCCACAGAGTGGGAGAAAATCTTCACCAACTGTATATCCGACAAAGGACTAATATCCAGAATCTACAATAAACCCAAACAAATAAACAATAAAAGAAAAACAATCCCATCAAAAATTGCTCTGGCATGAATAGACAATTCTCAAAATAAAATATACAAATGGCCAACAAACGTGAAAAAATGCCCAACATCACTAATGATCAGGGAAATGCACATCAAAACCACAACGCGATACCACACCTTACTCCCGCAAGAAAGGCCATAATGAAAAAATCAAAAAATGATAAATGTTGGCATGGTTTCGGTGAACAGGGAACACCTCTACGCTGCTGATGGGAATGCAAAATAGTACAACCACTGTGGAAAATTGTGTGGAGATCCCTTAAAGAACTAAAAGTAGATCTACTGTTTGATCCAGCAATCACACTGCTGGATATCTACCCAGAGGAAAAGAAGTCATGATATGAAAAAGATATTTGCACATGCGTCTTTATAGCAGCACAATTCATACTCGCAAAAACATGAAGCCAAACCCATCAGTCAAACCCAAATGCCCATCAGTCAACAAGTGCATGAAGAAACTGTGGTATACATATACAGTGGAATGCTACTCAGGGTAAAAAGGAATGAATTAATGGTATTCCCAACCTGAATGGGATTGGAGACCATTGTTCTAAGTGAAGTAACTCAGGAATGGAAAAACAAACATGGTAGTTCTTACTCATAAGTGGGAACTAACCTATGAGGATGCAAGGCGTAAGAATGACACAGTGGACTTTGGGGACTTGGGGGAAAAGGGTAGGAGGGGCGAGGGATAAAAGGCTACAAATTGAGTTCACTGTATACTGCTCGGGTGATGGGTGCACCAACATCTCACAAATCACCACCAAAGAACTTAGGTAACCAAATACTACATGTTCTCCAAAAACCTATGGAAAATAAAACACTAAAAAAAAAAAACTTATAAATTTATTTATTTATTTATTTTTTATTTTTATTTTTATTTTTTTAATTTTTTATTGGATTATAGGTTTTGGGGTACATGAGCAGAGCATGCAAGACAGTTGCGTAGGTACACACATGGCAGTGTGCTTTCTTTTCTTCTCCCCTTCACCCACATTTGGCTTCTCTCCCCAGGCTATCCCTCCCCACCTCCCCCTCCCACTGGCCCTCCCCTTTTCCCCCCAATAGACCCCAGTGTTTAGTACTCCCCTTTCTGTGTCCATGTGTTCTCATTTTTCATCACCCACCTATGAGTGAGAATATGCGGTGTTTCATTTTCTGTGTTTGTGTCAGTTTGCTGAGGATGATGTTCTCCAGATTCATCCATGTCCCTACAAACGACACAAACTCATCATTTCTGATTGCTGCATAATATTCCATGGTGTATATGTGCCACATTTTTCCAATCCAGTCTATTATCAATGGGCATTTGGGTTGATTCCAGGTCTTTGCTATTGTAAACAGTGCTGCAATGAACATTCGTGTACATGTGTCCTTATAGTAGAACGATTTATACTCTTTTGGATATATACCCAGTAATGGGATTGCTGGGTCAAATGGGATTTCTATTTCTAAGGCCTTGAGGAATCGCCACACCGTCTTCCACAATGGTTGAACTAATTTACACTTCCACCAACAGTGTAAAAGTGTTCCTTTTTCTCCACATCCTCTCCAGCATCTGTTGTCTCCAGATTTTTTAATGATCGCCATTCTAACTGGCGTGAGATGGTATCTCAATGTGGTTTTGATTTGCATCTCTCTGATGACCAGTGACGATGAGCATTTTTTCATATGATTGTTGGCCTCATATATGTCTTCTTTCGTAAAGTATCTGTTCATATCCTTTGCCCACTTTTGAATGGGCTTGTTTGATTTTTTCCTGTAAATCTGTTTGAGTTCTTTGTAAATTCTGGATATCAGCCCTTTGTCAGTTGGGTAAACTGCAAAAATTTTTTCCCATTCTGTTGGTTGCCGATCCACTCTAGTGACTGTTTCTTTTGCCGTGCAGAAGCTGTGGAGTTTCATTAGGTCCCATTTGTCTATTTTGGCTTTTGTTGCCAATGCTTTTGGTGTTTTGTTCATGAAGTCCTTGCCTACTCCTATGTCCTGGATAGTTTTGCCTAGATTTTCTTCTAGGGTTTTTATGGTGCCAGGTCTTATGTTTAAGTCTTTAATCCATCTGGAGTTAATTTTAGTGTAAGGTGTCAGGAAGGGGTCCAGTTTCTGCTTTCTGCACATGGCTAGCCAGTTTTCCCAACACCATTTGTTAAACATGGAATCCTTTCCCCATTGCTTGTTTTTGTCAGGTTTATCAAAGATTGTATAGTTGTATGTATGTTGTGTTGCCTCCGGTGCCTCTGTTTTGTTCCATTGGTCTATATCTCTGTTTTGGTACCAGTACCATGCTGTTTTGATTACTGTAGCCTTGTAGTATAGTTTGAAATCCGGTAGTGTGATGCCCCCAGCTGTGTTCTTTTTGCTTAGAATTGACTTGGCTATGCGGGCTCTCTTTTGTTTCCATATGAAGTTCATGGTGGTTTTTTCCAGTTCTGTGAAGAAAGTCAATGGTAGCTTGATGGGGATAGCATTGATTCTGTAAATTACTTTGGGCAGTATAGCCATTTTCACGATATTAATTCTTCCTAACCATGAACATGGAATGTTTCTCCATCTGTTTGTGTCCTCTCTGATTTCGTTGAGCAGTGGTTTGTAGTTCTCCTTGAAGAGGTCTCTTACGTTCCTTGTGAGTTGTATTCCAAGGTATTTTACTCTTTTTGTAGCAACTGCGAATGGCAGTTCGCTCTTGATTTGGCTTTCTTTAAGCCTGTTATTGGTGTAGACGAATGCTTGTGATTTTTGCACATTGATTTTATATCCTGAGACTTTGCTGAAGTTGCTTATCAGTTTCAGGAGTTTTTGGGCTGAGGCGATGGGGTCTTCTAGGTATACTATCATGTCGTCTGCAAATAGAGACAATTTGGCTTCCACCTTTCCTATTTGAATACCCTTTATTTCTTTTTCTTGCCTGATTGCTCTGGCTAGAACTTCCAGTACTATATTGAATAGGAGTGGTGAAAGAGGGCATCCTTGTCTAGTGCCAGATTTCAAAGGGAATGCTTCCAGTTTTTGCCCATTCAGTATGATATTGGCTGTTGGTTTGTCATAAATAGCTTTTATTACTTTGAGATACGTTCCATTGATACCGAGTTTATTGAGGGTTTTTAGCATAAAGGGCTGTTGAATTTTGTCAAATGCCTTCTCTGCGTCTATTGAGATAATCATGTGGTTTTTGTTTTTGGTTCTGTTTATGTGGTGAATTACATTTATAGACTTGCGTATGTTGAACCAGCCTTGCATCCCCGCGATGAATCCTACTTGATCATGATGAATAAGTTTTTTGATTTGCTGTTGCAATCGGCTTGCCAATATTTTATTGAAGATTTTTGCATCTATGTTCATCATGGATATT